CTTTATTCTTGCGTGACGTTTCTAATATCCTTCTGTTCCTTTCATCTTCATTATTTTGTCTTCTATTTACTTCTAAATTTTTTATTCTATGTTTCGTATAGCCTTCTATCCTTCGATTTCTTTTGCTTTGCTCTGTTTTATTTTATATTTTTTTCTAGTTTCAATGACTTAAATCCAATGTCAAAGGCGAGGTTCTTGTCGGCGACTACCGAGTCGAAGGCAGCGTCGAGGATGGTGGTGGGCAGGCCGCGGAAGGGGGCGGAGGCGGGCGTGAGGACCCGCGTGGCCCTGCGGGATCTCGCAGTGGTGAATTTTCGGGAAGGTCTTGTGGTTCCGCCTCAGGCGGCGGCGGTGGATGAGATGAACGCGGTTGTTCAGGGGAGGAAGAGCGCTGGCGTGTTGTCGGGCGGCGGGGTTAGTATGCTGGCCTCCGTTGAATAGCTTTTAGTTAAGGGATGAAATCACTTGCCGCCATTTGATGACCCGCGGATCTGAGATACCACAATTCGACCACCTCCAATTGACCCAATTTTGATCGTGTTGGCACTATGATTCTATCTATATAAACCGCCGATGGACTCCAATTGGTTAGAATAGAGTGATTTCAGTACTTATTAATTTTTTTTTTCTTTTTATTTTATTTTGTGAGATTTAATTAACAAATGACTTTGAATGATAGGATCGGATCCTCATGCGGGATATTATCTGGACCCAGATGCTAGAGTAGAAGAGTCCCTTTTTATTTTTTCTAAGGGAGTTTATTGTTGTTTTGGTGTTGATTGGATGTGTATGTTTTGTTACTGTACGTAAACTTTATTTTGATTGAAAGACAATTTCAATAATTATTGTCTTTGCATGTGCAATTCTCGTTCAATTTTTTTACAGGTTCTCTCATTTTTTTTAAGAAATATATGACCAAACAAAAATAACAATATGAACTGCAATTTGCTAAAAATAAATATTAAATAAATAATAAAATAAAAATAAATATTAAATAAATAATAAAATGTAACACCACCGTCACGTTACAAATACGATCAAAACATAAAAAAAATTCCAATAAAACATTACTTACGACTGGTCCAAGCAACATTTTTTTTTCGCCTATCATTATCGATTTTGACCTTCAATGTTTCTTCCTTGTTTTGCTTTTTTGATACCAACTTTTTATTTTTTCGGATTCTTTTTCTGAATGAATCGAGATTTTTTTCTGAATGGTTTGTGTTATTTATTTATTTTTTTGTTTATGATTGTTAGTTGTAAGTAGTTATTTTTTAAATTCAAAATTGTTGCCTTACGTTTTTTTTTTTAATTTTGTATTTTTTTTTTAATGTTTTTCATTTTTCCTAATTGTGTCCAACTATGGAGTATATTTGAAAATGTGTAGGACATGATCCTCGAGGAATATTTTGCTTAAAAGGGGTTAGTTATAAAATTTTCCCACCAAACAACTAAACAAATAGTGGGCTCTAACTCTAAATAATTAAACCCGGAGTGGGCCTTTACCATCTTGGTCCAGCAAGCTTGTCAACCTCGGTTCTCTGGCCCGTCATCCTGTACGCCACGGCCCAACTCCATATTCAAGTACACGATCGACTAAAACTCCATAATCGGGTACATGATAGCTAACCTCTCGGCTCAACTCTATAATCAGGGTACATGATAGTCCACCTCCCGACCCAACTCCATATATCAGGTACAATTACAATAGGGAAATTTTTAGTCCTCCTATAAGATGTATAAATATTTTCAAATTTACTTTCATGTGAAAGTATTTTCAATTATGCCTAATGAAACGAGATTGCATCAATAGCAGTTACCATATATATTCAACTTCCATCCCCCTTTTTGTGGACATAATTAAGAGAGAGAAAAGAAAAATAATAACTGATTCATTTATTATCCTTAATTCACGCACTTGTACATTGTAATTCAAGCAGCCGTCAGGTAGTATATTTTGAGTTTATGTTAGTATATATTCAGTGTATGTTGCAATTATTACCTGACATACACCAAAAATATACTTCAAATATACTAAAAATGTGTAACAGGTGCAGAAAGCCAGTGACAAAGTGTATAGCATAGAAAGAGAAAAGATACTTCGGATAGAGAGAAAAGTTACCTCGGATATACCCACCAGATAACAAGATAACCAGAGAAAAGTTACTTCGGATATACTCGGATATACCCAACATATACCCCAACTCGGTTTTGTGAATATACCTTCGAATTATATACATTTTCAACGCATATAAGTGTAATAAAAATCATAACTGTTGATATATGAACATAAACTATGAATAAACAATGAAAACATAAAAAAATATCCATTCACAAACTAATTTGTACAAACAATATACCAAACATAAACTAAGATGTTCAATAACTGTACATATCCCTAAGATGTAACATATACTGCACATATACTGCGTATACACGCTACATATACCGAAAACGTACAACGAACAATTTGTTAGGGTTTTATATGATATCTAAGTTCCAACAGGAAATGTAAACGTCACAGCCCCTAAATCTTCCCGTCGGCGAACCTCTTACTCTTCACCTTCCCGAGCTCCACTCCCAAATCTGACGTGATTTTCTAAATAAAAAATTCATAAACAAATAATTAAATCTTAGATTTTAAGGATTAACAATAGGAAGAAAGCAAAAAAGAATTAAAAAAAAAAAGAAGTAGAAACAGTAAACAACACTGACTTGCAGATCATATAAATCGAACAACAACCCACCAAGATTTAATTCAAAGTTCATTGAAACGTTCAATTTTAATGTTCATTGAACCCAGGAAAAAAAAAACAATTCAATCTAACAAGAAGCACACAGACACAATGAAATCGAAGAAGAAAAAACGATAAACAAACCGATCTTTCGTCTCTTGCGATCACCGTTCCGGAGGAGCTTTGGTTGGTTTTTTGGAAGGATTTTACGGAGCCGGGCACTAGATCTTTATAACCAGTGAAACGTCGCCAACATCTGCCGGATTTCTTCGATTAGGATGAGGGAGTTTGGTTTTTGCCATTGATTGTTGAAATGGGAGAAAAAAATTGGGGCGGTTTCTGCAGAGACGGGAGATGGTGGGGCGGTTTCTTCACCTTTTTGTTTTTCACTTTTTTTTATAAATGATATTTAAAAATCCCTTAATTATCTCCTTAGCATTAAAAACATGTTGATACGTGTGAAGCAAGTTTTTAGGTACATTTGATAATTTTATATCTTCTTTAGCTAAAAATAAAAATAATTATATTTGAAGTGGAAAGGTGTAATAAAATTTAAAAAGGAATGTAAGGAGTGCAATTTCCTCATTACAATACTCCTTCTCGAAAGAGTCTCGTCTCCGAAACTCACATGTTTGAACTTGTACTATCCAATTGCCCACTCAAATGACTAAAATCTCGAAACCCATTGTGATTGGGCCCAGTCCAAATGCCATAAAATGAAGCACCACCACCAAATGACCCAGTCATATGCAGACGTTGGCCCATAAATTATCCCACTTTTTCAGACGGCACAGTTCTTGCACAGAACTTGATATCAACAGCTCTCTTTCAAAATTGGTTCTCAATGGATTTTTTTTTTTCTTTTTTTTTTTCAGCCGTTTCATGATCGGAAAACTTACCTTTGATTACACACATAATCGGCATCGATTAGGGTTGAATGAAAGACCCACGAAGGTGCACAGATTTACTTTCCATTTTTGGGAAGTTTGTTTTCTTGGATTATTATAAAACTGAAGAAGGACTTGGTAAAATTGTGAATAATTTTTGTTATCTCATTTTTTTCGGTATTAGCGTTTTTTTTTTGTGGGTTTTTCGCCGTTGTCCCTCTCCATAGCCGAAGAAGCAGATCAAAGGTGAGATTAACATAAAAAAGATTTATTTTTTTTCGGTGGGTTTTTCGCCGTTTCTGTCTCAATCGTTTGTTTGTTTGTTCGTTTGTTTGAGCTGTTGATCTGTGTGTGTTCGCGATTATGAAAAGCTTTATCTTGCTCTCGCTGTGAAGATATAGCCTATAAGCCCGTCTTGTCTGTACTTCATGAGTGCTTGCCTGGGTTGTTATTTGTTTAATAATCCTCAATCTGTTAAGTTTGTTATTGTGTGTCGTTTGTGTGTGTGTGTGTGCGCTCTCGTTTTGCAGCATACTCACCAACCCCGAATCTATATAAGAGAGCGTAAGCAGCAATGGCTGAGGGGGAAGATATTCAACCTATCGTTATCGATAACGGATCTCGAACGGTTAAGGCGAGCTTTCTCGATTATTTGCCCCCCTTTCGCATATTAATCTTGTTTCTAACATATTATCGTCTCTCAATTTTTCTATCTTATCGTGTATTTTACTTTCTCCTTAGGCTGGTTTTGCTGGTGATGATGCCCCTAGGGCAGTTTTCACGAGCATAGTCGGCCGCCCTCGCCACACTGGCGTGATGGTCGGGATGAGTCAAAAGGATGCTTATGTAGGTGAAGAGGCCGCGAGTAAAAGAGGCATCCTCATACTAAAGTACCCGATCGAGCACGGCATAGTCACCGATTGGGATGCCATGGAGAAGGTTTGGCACCACGCTTTCCACAACGAGCTCCGTGTTTCTCCCGAGGACCACCCCGTTCTCCTCACGGAGGCACCTCTCAACCCGAAGGCGAACCGAAAGAAAATGACTGAGATCATGTTCGAGACCTTCAGTTTTCCGGCTATGTACGTTGCTATTCAACCCGTGCTTTCACTGTATGCCAGTGGGCGTAAAACCGGCATAGTTCTCGATTCCGGCTTTGGAAGCAGCCACGCGGTCCCGATTTTCGAGGGCTACGCCCTTCCCCACGCCATCTTGCGTCTGGGCCTCGCCGGCCTCGACCTCACTTACTCTCTCAAGATGATCTGTATGGACAGATACTACTTCCGACAGGAATTCATGAATGATGTAAAAGAGAAGCTTGCCTACGTGGCACTCGACTTCGAACGGGAGTTGGAAAAAAACGCCAAAGACAGCTCGGCGGTCGAACAGAACTACGAGCTGCCCGACGGGCAGTTCATCACCATAGGGTCCGAGAGGTTCCGCTGTGCGGAACCCCTCTTCCGGCCGTCGCTGAACAGGATGGAAGCTGCCGGGATTCACGAGATGACTCATAATTCTATTGTGAAGTGTGACGTGGATATAAGGAAGGATCTTTACGGGAATATCGTGCTCAGTGGCGGGTCCACCATGTTCCCTGGCATTGCCGAACGTATGAGCAAGGAGATAACTGCTCTTGCTCCCAGCGGTACGAAGGTTAATGTGGTGGCCCCATCTGATAGGAAGTACAGTGCCTGGATCGGAGGCTCAATTTGGGCCTCTCTCAGCACCTTCCAGCAGGTTGCTTTTGATTTCACTTTTGATGTTTAACTTGGCCGTTTGAATAAATTGATGCTTAAAGCTCCTTTTTTTGCTGTGTTTTTTCGTGGTGGTGCAGATGTGGATCTCGAAGCAAGAGTACGATGAATCTGGTTCGGCAATTGTTAACAGAAAGTGTTTCTAGGAAGGTGAGTATGTTTTGTTTTCTTCTTTATTAATAATGAGTAATCATCTCTTCTTTACGAGTTTGTAGGACTTGATGGATTTCTAAACATATTGATAAAGACAATGTTCGATTCCATTTTCTCCTGAAACCATTTTCGCCATTGATGAAAAGCTCTGAAAGTTCGAGCTCTAAAAATGATCAGTCCGCAGTGAATAATAAACCATCCGAGCTCACATTATCCATGCTTGAGAGAACCAATACACGCTCGACACGTACCCAATTATAACTAACACAAAAAGACGCAAGAAAATGCAAAACACGAGTCTTTAAGTGAAGGAATAAAATGCGAAAAATAAAGAGAGAAAATAAAGCGGAGAAACTAAGAAGCGACTTTTGTCAAGCCACGCCATGCCAACGTGCATACACGTCAGCTTGCCATGTCAACAGAGTTTGATCGCAGCCCTTGAGCTCACAGAGTGAATTTTATCAAGGGCTCTGCTCTGACTGATGTTGTATTCAAGAGTGAGATTTTATGATATTTTGAGTCCTTTTTGTGTTTCTCTTACCATTGGATCTCTTGGGTTTCATTTCTAGCCTTTCCGAACTGAATGTTTGGCCTCGGCTATGTGTTTTATATTGCCAGCACCAAAATCTTCACCATGTATCTTATTATCATGTAATTGTGGAATGGTGATAAATTGTGGAATGTTGATTTTGATAGTAGTATAATGACAAGAGTAAAGAGTGTTTGTCATGTGTATCTGGGTAAGCCAATATGTGAATCATTCTAGTAATGTAGCAAGACTCGTTTGTGAAAGTTTTCTGTTGGATAATTATTTAATATTACCGACTTTGTTATAGTTAGATTTTTTTTTCGATTTATTATAGTCTTTTTTTTTCGAAACGATAGATTTTATAAACTAAAAACGCATAATTACAACTGGACAACAACTAAAATAAGTCAAACAATTATGTAGATGAATCTACTGAGTAATCCCACAACTGAGGCTTGGAGAACTACTCTAACACTACCACAAAACAAATGAAAAAAAAAGTTCCCACTAAGGAGAATAAAACTCCTACTAGCGGAAACTAGAACAACTATAAGGCAAAAAAA